GCTCTCTAAACTCCTTGTACTTCCACCTAGAGCAGAGTCTGATACAGGCATTCAGGAAGTTATTGATGACGTGCTCATCAGGGAGAATTCATTTCTTAAAGTACTGGGTAAACACTGACAATTTATCCTATAGGAAAAGCAGTGTACATTTCTAACAGTGATGGCATTTATATATGTATAAATATAATTATGAATATATTATATTATGGTTTCTGATTTGGCATTCAATTATATAACTTAAACTACATGAGTTATAAATTTGTTTTTTAGTTTTTTTTTATATTTAACTCAGTAATCCTTCTGCAATTTATTTTTGTAAAGGGTTTCATATAGCATGGTATCTCTCAAGGAGAATAGTCTTTAAAGAGAAAAGTTTTCATCTAATATTTAATCAGTTAGAATTCAGGCATTTTGGAATATTATGGTTTTTAATTCTTTGGCCACCTAATAACAATGATTTAATCTTATTTTTAGTAAGACTGTTTGAAAATACAGAATTACATTGATTAAAAACGGAATAAACAAATTTCCCTTTCTTTGGTGCGTTTCTTTGGATCTAGGGGAAACCATGGACAACCTCACCCTGGAGGCCGGGGACGATGCTGGGAAGGTGAAGTGGGTTGACATCAGCGATCAGCTCAAGCTTTATGCCAGCCACTCCCAGTTCATCAAACTCGTGGCGGAGAAGAGGGATGCGCACTGGAGCGAGGACCCTGCTGCTGACAACCGTGGGCTGTAGCTCGTCCCCGTGAGCCAGAGGCATTCTGGGAGTGCTACAGCCATCCAGCCACCAGGGACACAGAACTGACTCCACAGAGGACACTCGGGAAGGTCTGCAACCAGGTAAAACGAGCGAGTATGATGAAGAACACTGAACTTTCAGCTTTCTTCTCAAAGGATTAGATCACCAGATTTTGTATGTATTTAAGCATGGCTGAACAAAATTTAAATAACAAGTGGTCTTTAGAGAATTGTAGTTACAATAAAAATTTAAAAACCCAACTGGTGGTGACTGGTGTTTCTAGTTCTTACTGTTAACTCCTCACTGCCCGTGGAGCCGGGTGGTGTCCTGCTGAGCTAGACTTTTGGAGGTGCCACCTCACATGTGCAGTAATGCCTGCCTGACCCCATTGCCTTTCAACTGTTTGCTCTGTTTTGTTTCCTGTGCATGCAGTGCCCGAGGAGGGCAGAGAGGGCGTTGGATCCCCCGGAACTAGGTTTACAGGTTGTGAGCCTCTGTGAGTGGCTGGGAATTAAACCCCTGTCCTGGAAGAGCAAGCGATGATCTTAACTGCTCAGCCATCTCTCCAGCCCGAGTTACCAATTTTACAGTGGAGTTTCAGTTCGTGCATTTATTTATTTATTCATTTTGAGGCAGAGTCTCACTGTATCTCATTTTTTTCTAGTGGTCAAAGATCAAAGTCAATGAATAGAAGCTCTCACTTTTAGAATATTTAAATTTTAAAAATATGCCCAGGTAAATTAGTAGTTTATAGAGACGTCACTTTACTGTGACTACTGCGTGACAAAGAATAGACAGAGAAAGGAGCTAATTAGTCAGGGTCAGCTGGGAGCCTTCGTGAGTTCAAGCGGCTTTTGATGGGAGGATAATATTAAGGATTGAAGCAGTTTTTCTGAGAGATGCGGCGTTAATATTATAAATCCCAGATGGAGAGAATGTGTTGGTGGGGTGCCCCAGAAAGAAGAAAGGGAAGTAATGCTATCTCACCCCAGTGAACCCAGGTGACACATGCTGGCCAGGGCTGTCCTTTGGCAAGTTGAGGATGGCTCCAGCTAGAGGGAAAGACAAAGGGGTGGGGTATATGTTGTCAGGACCCTGCGGGGGTAGAGGGAGTTGAGCTGAGCTGGTTGGAGCCTCGGTAGTGTGACAGAGTCTGCTGGGAAACTCTGAGATGTTTGATGTCAAGGTGAACTCTCTTGACACGTTATTTTTAAAAGCGCAGACATGCCTGACCCTTGGGCCTGTCATGGGCACTTGGACTTGATGAGGATAACTGCTCAGGAGGTGCTGTGTGAACCCACTTTCCGGCACTGAGACCAAACAGTTTTCAAAGGCTCTCAGGAAACTTTGAACAGTCACTAGAGCACTTGAACTGAAACCCATACGTGTTTTAGTGAGAAGTTTATTTAGAGCAGATGGTCTGTAGATAGTAGCCTTCCCTGTGTTGTCTGAAGTTTCACAGAAGTTTTGACAGAGAATACAAGATGGTAACCCAGTTCTGAGCTGCAGATAGTAGAACAGGTAACCAGCACCACCTGCAGTAGAGAAAACAGTTAAACCTTTAGCTTCTGGTCTTCCTGTCAGGAGTGTCTGCCCACGGTCACTGGTGGTCCCCCTGTTCTTCCTCATGTCTGCCCATGGTCACTGGTGGTCCCCCTGTTCTT